ATTTGGGAGATTTTTCAGTATAACAAATTTTTTTTTTGTAAAAATTTTGAGATACATATTAAAAAAATTTTTAAATTTTCAAACACATCATTCAAATTTTTTCCACCTTAAAAAGGAGGTTATTTTAAAGGGGAAAAAAAAAAAATCAAATATTTGTATTTTTGTTCTTTTAAATTTTGTGTAACCAAAAAAAGGAAATTTTCCGTAACCGGGGACCGGCAAAGGTATTTTCGGGGTTTTTCGAAAAGGGGCAAAATTTAAACCAAACATGGGAAAGGTTTAAAAGATCACAGTCATCCTCCTTTTACCCAAAACAGGTTTCCCCTGCTCCTCCCCTGGGCCCCAAAAGTTAAAAAGCTACCAATAAACCCCGGGTTCCAGACTCAGGGGAAAAAGAAAGTTTTTGGGGGGGAAAAAGGGCTGTATGGGAAAAGAACTAACCATTTGGGAAAATTTCGACAATTAACAGTGGTTTTCCAATGTGGCGGGAAAATGACGAAAAATTGGGGAATTTAAAATTTTTATGGAAAAAAAATCAGCAAATCTCATAAAGTTTTTAACAATTTTTTTGCGTTCCGAAACACCACGTTATGGAAAATAACAGGCGGGAAAATTTAAATTTTGTTACCACAAATACAAAATTTTTGGGGATTAAATTTTTTTTGTGTCAAAATCCTAACGTCACCTTTTTGGAGAAAGTCACTGGGGGCCTTTAAAAGGGAGTGATTAAAAAAACAACCGTAATACAAAAAAATCACTTTTTTTTAAGATTTCAAAATTTCAGCTTACAAAGTACCAAAAAAAATGGGGTTTTTTTAAAATTTTTTTTTGGCGTTGGTACATTCTATTTCTATATTAAAAACAATTTTTTCTTTAAAAGCCCTAAACCCCCGGGATTTTTTCATCTATACACATTGAAAATGTTTCTTTCCCGTTTTTGGCCAAAAAGAAAAATTTAAATGAAGGGGGTTTGATAGCTTGTATATATTTTTTTTCCAAAAGTGTTTTACTTGATTAACGAACCTTTTTTTACTACATTTCTTGGGTAAATAAAAAGAAAAATTGGGTATTTGGGGGCTTAAAGATTTAACCCAAAAGTTTCCCCTCTTTTCATAAAGATTTCCAAACAGGAATTTATTTAAAACTAAAGGGCAAATTTTTAAACCCAAAATATTAAATTTGAAAAAAAGATTTAAAAACATTTAAAGGGACGGGTTTCATTCCCTGTTACAGGTTAAGTTTAAGTTTTATTTTCTTTAAAAAAAAATTACCCGTTTTTTTAATGGGCACTATTATTTCATTTGTACTACCTATTAAATGGGCAAAATTTTGTTTTATAAATATTTTTAAAAATTTTCAAAAGGAAATGGGGGGAGCAATTTTCAAATTTTTCTTAAAAATAAATTTGAGCATAGTATAAATTTTAAATAGGGACATGTATAAAAATGACCGGAAATTTAAAAAAACAAAAACCTAATTTTTTTGAAATATGTCCCTAAAGTAAAAACAACACTAAAAAACACAAAGATACCCTGATACTTTTATATCAAAAAAACCCTTTTCAGTTTTGATGTAACTAACAGCATATTTCATCCGTCTATTAGGATCATATCAAATATAGGAATTAAATTTTGAAAATACGTCATAATTTGATTTCAGGTCAGGGTTATGACGTCATTGCATTCTTTTTTAAACTTTAAGGTATGTAAAAAGAAATATTGATATCTTTTATCATACGTTTTGTTTGATATCAATGTCTTTATTGTAAATTATTGACAATTGAAGCACATCAAAGCATGAGAACCACAGCTACCTAGCTTTAATGACATTTTTTGGGTCAAATCATAAGAAACATATGCTTTATATGTTTGGATATATCACCGTAACCTTTACCTCATTTATTGTTTAGATTTTACGGCATCTCATTTGACCAGGAGGGTGGTATTTCAATCTGAGGAAAGATATTTTGAGACCCTCTCCTTTCAACAGAAGATCAGAACTATCCAATGATAACGTCGGTGTGGATTTAAGGCAAAAGTCGGCTACTTTGATCTGGGAAAATTTACTTTAACTTAGAGACTGGTTTCTTTAATTTAGGAAACGATGGACATTTGAATAAAATATGGTTATTTCATTATAAATTGATGTATTTATTAAAGAATAATAAAAATGTAACATTACTTCTACATTTTGGAATCGGAATTTGTCATTTAATTTAGGAGAAAAACAATAACTGAACCTTCTAAACGTTATGTGAAAAAGAAAGTACTGGAACCTTTCAAAATGAATCTGACGATAACAAAAGCTTAAATCTAAATGTTATCTTTAACTTATAACATTAAAATATCGAAAGAGGACATACCTGTATATTCAAAAAGTTTGTGCTTCCAGCATTTGCTCACAAAAAACAAATTATATAGTGAAACATAAACTGAAGTCTAGATATTATGGAAGCTGATTAGTGCCATATCTCTTGTGCCGTAATGTCACAGACCAGCTTCCATAATTTATCAAAAATATTATAAATAACGTAAGCAGAAAAGAAATCCAACAAAAGAGATGAGTAGAGCCCTCATTGATTCTAGGGTTTCGCCTCCGTTGAACATTCTCTTTGGGTAACATGCCGTGGCGGTCTCTGTGCACGGGTAAATCACGGTGGATATGTAAGCTCTCCAATGACGTACCATGTCAGAGGCGTCACAGCTCATCTCAACTGACGCGCTTATCTCCGCCGCCATAGTGTTTTCTAGTCTAAAAACATAACGTATTACATTGTATTATATCGATCTAAAACTTTCTTGGAACATGACAAATTTTATGTTTGATTACCTGATTTGCATTCACTAAGGAATGCATACATGTACAATGTATATTCTTGCCAATTGAAGAAAGCTTCTAGTACAAATGCAATGATTGTAGCTTGGTATTTGATACACTAAACGTTGCAAAATGATGATAATATTTCAAAGTATAGTATGTGATACTCACGCGCACTGAGTCTGTTTATCAAGCGTCCCTGCGATACTATGATTGTGAACGCTGGATGTAAATTTTGACATTGCTGTCGTCACATCCGCTGTGGCTGCGCAACTCAGAATCATGTCTGTAATTTTTAAATTTCTTCAAAATGATTATAACAATTATACAAAACAGGTTAAATTTTATTCTTTCTCATATATATAATCTTAAGTATTTCTTCAAAGATCGTTAATAATTTGAAAGAAAAGACGATTAGTGTAAAAATCGTTGGCAGAGTAGAAACAAAAACACTGACATTGAAAAAAGGAAAACAAAGAATAAAAAGGGAAACTAAAATAGCTCAATCGGTTAGAGCGCGAGACTTGTAATCTCGGCATTTTTGGTTCGATTCCAGGGCTGGCCAACTAAAATTTCTGATCAGTCATTCGGATAAGACTTTAAATCGAGGTTCCGTGTATGAGGGTTTAAACACTTAGCGCGCTAAACAACCAAGGAGATGCTTCTTGAATTTGGACATTTTTTGTACTGTACCTTGCACTATCCTCCAAAATCTACATTTAATTTATTAATATTCTTCTGGAGGACTCACCAATATGGGCAACCGGTGGCGAGTATAAATAAACTCACATACCCACACAAAGAAGGACAATATAGACATAATTTATATTACCAAAGTTGTCAGGAGAACACATGCAATTATAGCCGGCCTCGAATCCTTCTACAGCTGACCCGTACAACGTGGTGACTTGAGGTTCGTACAGACATCTCGTGATGTGGCTCTTTATGCAGGACTGAATCGTGCTTTTAGAACTTAAAATATTGAACAACATGGAAACATTAGTGTCAGTTATAACAACCTGGTTATCTAGTGAAATAATAGCTAAAGTGCTCACGATTGAATTATTTTTCGATCTTGCATGCCAAAGAAACAAGTTATTTATAACTGATAAACATCGTGAAACGTTATGAGCTCTACTTCAAAGCGTCCAACATTATTGATTATGAAGAAATAAATGCTAATTTGTATGTGCTTCCCGTAATAATGCACGATATTTTTACAATATATTGAATTTCTGGTCATATTTCTTTCATTTATGGTACAGGTGTTATTCTTTTTATCCGCATTCAAATTATAGTTTTGGTATAATTAGGAAATTCTATATTAATACATGGAGCATGTGATGAATACATTAACTATGACGACATTTAGTTCTGCCTGCTATTCCATTTAGTCAGATTTTCTTTTCATTCGCATTCAGAAATAATTCGACTACAGTGAAAATTATATTTCATAAATTTAACTAGTGGATTATCAGAATATAATCATCTAATATATTGCAGTCATGAAATAAATTACAACGTATCATCAGCAAAACTTACCCGCACATTTCATCAGCATTAGACAGTGTGCTTGGCGTGGGTACCAGTGCATTGTTCACAATTACGCCATTTTTAGCGTAACATTCAATAGAGGCTACGTTAATCTGTGCCAACGTGCACGGGTAATATGTCGTGGCAACGTCAGTGCACGGGAACACTATGGTGGCTAGATACTGATGCATGACGTTCTTACTTTCCTCAGAACAATGACCTTGCTCCACAGACGCTTCGTAGATTGCCATTATACTATGAAGTAAAGCGTGAACTGGTCTGAAATTAACATTAAAATATGTTATATGCGACGTCATATAATGATAAATATTTCTTAAAGTTACGATCTCTTCTGACCACTATTTGTTTGATGCTGAATATTGAAAATAATCGACAGGATTTTCTGTAAAGAATAGGTTTCTAAAGCTATGTAATTTAATAACAAATGTATTTCTTCGTAAATGCATACTTAAATGTTGCATATAATTTTATGATAGGGTCCATAATCCTACTTTTTTATATATACAATACATATATTATAATATATGTATACGTGCAATATGAGTATATTTGTAATGTCCTCAAGAGGGGCCTCTCGGGCAAAGCGTAATTAAACATATTCATTTCTGCCTTTCGAAAAATCTTAACATATATCATCAAGAAATCGTAAAGAATGTTAAAATTGACTTCATACTCGCAGAGATCGGAAAATGACGCCGAATGTTGATCCATGGTGTCCACTGAATGTATAAGATCATATACGGCAACGGAGATGTTCTCGGCGTGTTCATAGGCACAGGTCATGTCTATATCTGTAAGTGTGGAAATGTAAAGACCGTGTGGTAAATGTGAGTATGACAGGCCTAGTTACTCGTGATTAGATGTTTCAGATTAATTACCTTAACTGTACCAACGAAAATTTTCAAAGTAGAATAATTTAATTAAATAAAATATCATTTTAAACACCAGAACTATTGAAGGACAATGGAAATGTATTTACAAGTATAATCACAAAACGACAAATTGCATACATTACAAACGTATTTATTCAGTTTATATGTCCGTGACCTTTGACCTGATGGAACGGGGGTCATTACCGTTTGTCACTAGACCAGTTTAGAGCCAGGTCGTCATCCAGCGCATTTCGGCACCTTAGTGCAATAACTGATTAACTACTATTAAATTTAGAAGGGTTTACTCCGTTAGTGCACTAAGCTGACACTTTACTTTTGATAGCTGTTTTTTGTTGTTGTTGTTTTTTTTACATTTTTGATATGGGGATTCTCTTTAACTTTAAACGGGCAGAACCAATTAAATACAGGGATAATCCATTACAATAGTTAAAGTGACATTATGTCCATCCAATGGTATAAATGAGTGAACAAGTGAATGTCAAAATAAATTTTCATTTTCGATATAAAAAAAATATTTCACATTACCAGTAAACAACGCATGGATTCAAATGGAATTTTCGTAAATATCCGCTAGAATTTACCTGCAACGTTCATTTCGTAAAAAGAGTGGGGCAGTCTTTTTATATAATAGGCAGATTTAAATTTTATCCTAAACATTTTCCAATATGAACAGTTGGTCAATAACCATTTTAACAGTCAATCTTTTGAAATATATAGTCAGTTCAGCTTTACTTGACTATGAAAATATGAGCATAATGTCACTTTAAGCAGATAGAGGGTTAACAATATAATTTACTTTTGTTTGGTTCCTGGCATAATCCGTCGTAAGCTGCAAGAAGCGCGGCACCAGTGGCACCAAATATAACCTTTACCCTTTTATCTGATGTACAAGGGGAAATTACATTGGTGATGCAACTTTTGATGTCCGAAATATGTCGTCTGTAAACGATAATGAAAACAGTAGATCATTATCTTGAGATTTTTTGTCATAAATGCTAAGTAAGTAATGCACAAGAAAATGGCGTCATTGAAAATCATCGTTCAAAAATCCATATTTAATCCATATTATACTCGAATTTACAAAGTTCTGCAAAGTGGTGTGAAATAAAGATTTTTTTTCATGAAATAAAGATGCCATTACACACTGTTGAGTTCAATACTGACTCTATTGGTCTCGCATATAACTGCAAACCCCGTATTGAACGCCTCGTCTAGTGAACGTTTGGCAGTCAAATAGAATATAATTCAATATTGTTCTTAACTATGTATAATTACACCTTGCATCACATAACCTCGGCGGGTAATAACGAACATTACTACATTTGTGTAAAGTCATGCTAAATGTTACCTTTTACACTATAAAATCGCCAATGAGGGAAGAAATTTATTTTTTAAATGAAAACAGTGCCTATTTTGGGTAATATTGATAGATGGAATATTATATCCTGTAGCTTCATAATCTCGTTCTATAATATTTTATTATGCTCGCCAGTGACTTGGGTTTTTTATGACATGCTTTTCGGTGGTTTATAGAAATATATCAGTAATATAAAACTGATAATTTCACTGTTTAAAACAGTGAAATTATCAATAATTTCACTGTTTAAAACAGTGAAATTATCAATTTGATAATTTCTCTGTTTTGAATTTAAGCCCCTTTACGTTGTTTCAGTGAAATACCAGCGTGCACAGTACTGGAAACCAACCTAATGACGTGACGTCGTAAATGACGTCACGCTATGTTTTTATTTTGCGCACTTTTCATTAAGTATAAGCTTAAATATCTTTAATTTTAAAACGTTTCTTTACATATAATAAAAAGAAAATGTGTTTAGTTAAGCGTAAAATCGAAATATATTTCACCTTGTGAACATCAAAAGTTCACATTTCACTCGTGGCTGCGCCACTCGTGAAATATACCTTTTGGTGCTCACTCGGTGAAATATATTCCGATCTTACACTGAACTAAACAAATATCCTCTAGATCTATATTTTAAAATTCAGTTATAAAACTATATGGAGTGGTTCCATTCAAAATAGAAATCGGTAAATATAATGGTTTCCTGGTTGAAAGACGTATTTATTTATTCTGTTGTCAAGTTTGTTTGTAGGCATATTATGCCTATCATATTTTAGGAAGAGAAGTAATGAATGTTATATATAAGAAATATTGCAATTTATTACAAGGCAGACAACCCTGACTTGTCATAATGATCATAATTATTCTAGTTTTCTCCCTTTCAAAGTCAGGGACTTCTTTTATATTATCTTCCATCATAGAGTTTACTTAAAAAACTTATAAAAAATGTTAATGTTGGTTTGCATAGTTTATGAATATTATAATTACGTTAACGTAATGTTAAAATTTTTGAGATGCTTATTTCAAAGCTGTAATTTATAATTTGTGTTTTTTTACCACCCGAAGCAAATGTTTTAGAGGAACAAAATATCTGCCAGTACTTAAAATATGATCCAATAATAGATATGCAATATTTTCAAGAAAATTGGTGGTTTCTTTTTTGCGCCGTTGAATGACTTATTTCATTGATAATTCCTCAAATCAAGTAAAAAGTATATGTGCCTTAGACAAGGTACCTGCATCCTGTCGGGCGTGACTGTCACATGACTGTCACATGACAACATGAACCATGTGACAGACTGGCAAAGTAGTTAAAATAAATTTAGTTAAAGCATGATTATTTTGAATTCTATATTCATGATTCATGAACATTCATTCATGATACTTTGAGAACTGGTTAGTCAAAGCTACAAATTTATATCATATGAAACCCTACAGCTATTTTTCTTTAATTTTCTAATTATACTTAATTTCTGTTTTATATTTGTATGGCCCTCCTATACCATTACGCGCACGCAGTCAAGAATATATTATTGCCAAATGGGCTTTTGATTTATACATGCATATATAAGTATATTGTATGACACTTCATACTTTCGGAGTTATGTATAAACATGCCATTGTATAAAGAACTTTTATAGTTAAGGAAAGGTGAGAACGAGATCAATAACTTCGTTCGTAGATCTGGTAACAGATATCGCGATGATCGATACGCCGCGTGCAACTTTATTATACATGCGCAATAATTCTATCACATTTTCGTTGTTTTTATATTATAAATAACTTAACCTAAAACTTTGCTTTTACTCAGAGTAAATATCATAAAGCTGATTCCAATCTGCTTATTAAGGTATGTATTAAATATAATTTATGAGCCGCGTCATGACAAAACCAACATAATGCGTTTCCGACCAGCATGGATCCAGACCAGCCTGCGATCTGCGCAGTCTGATCAGGATCTATGCTGTTCGCTATCAGTTTCTCTACGTGTTATAGGGTTTGTAAGCGAACAGCATGGATCCTGATCAGACTGTGCGGATGCGCAGGCTGGTCTGGATCCATGCTGGTCGCAAACCCACTATGTTGGTTTTGTCATGACGCGGCTCATATGTTGAATATTCAGTGTTGGTTGTAAAATTGGTTATCTGTTGGATATTTCAGAGTTAAGAATAAGATATTTGTAAATATGCTTTATTCTCTAATTTAAAAAAAAGGTTTCTATTTTTTCTTAGCAATGAACTGTGTTATTTGATAAATATACTTTTTATACTGTAAGTCTGCTTATTTTTGTTGCTCAAGACGGACACCTTTAAATGTGTAATTTTGCTAACATAAAATTATATAAATACATAAATATCTGTGAATACTCTTACCAACAAAGAAGAAGGAAAAGAAAACTTGCCGTTTCTCCCTGCGGACTTGCACATAATAATAAAAAGTTATCATCTTACAGATTTTAGTAACGGGCTATTTTCTTCGCCCTACAATCAGAGATTATTTTAAAAACATGAACTTAACTTAAAACAAATTAATAACAGACAGCCGTTTCTGAATACTTACATAAGAGTTGGCAACAGATAAATTAAAGTCATTTGCTTTTCTAACCGACAATAATAAATACATGTACTTACAAACAAAAGTTTACAACAGACGCTGAATCATTGAACACGGGAACCAATGGATCGGTGGCTTCCTGAACCAAACTTTCACGTAAGCACATGCTCGTAGACTGATGAATCTCTTCCGTGCTGCATCTGCCCAATACAAGATGGCCGCCAAGGAACGCCAACACAATGGCTGTAGAGTGAAACCGGCACATTTTAAGAAATATTTGAAAAACGAAATATTTGGCTTGTTGCTATTTTAGACAAATACTAAAACTACACTAAAACCCACTAAAATTCTACGCGTGTTTGTAAATATATAACTGATGCTTATGAAATATACAAAATTAACATATATCATAAAATGGCCTGAAATAATTCGCCACGTTCGAAATGAATTAAATAAAAATAAAATGTGTAATTATCTGCCAACAAACATTTAATTATAATGATAATTTTTTGTCTTGACTACTCTTGATATCTTTAATGTACATGCTCATCTTTCAAGCTGGACAGCCCTATTTATTTATTTTTGGCAGAAACGTCTAAAATATATACTAGCGGAACAGCGAACAGTGCATACCACGTATAGGTTAGAGTGCATATTGGGTGTTCTTCGTAAATAAGAAAGCTAAAAAAGAGCGTAGCTTGCGGAGATTGGTGATTGGCTTAAAAAAATTGGCGAGCACTAAGATCAGGCGGTACGGATGCGCTGTTGTTTTGGACTGCACTGGTCACATGGGTAAATTCAGTTGCCGCCTACAGGCTGGAAG